CCATGAAATCCAAAGAAGATTATCCGGCAATTGCCAAAGCCCTTGTGCGCAGTCTTCACGGTCCCAAGTGAGTTTGTCCCTCCCCCCTCCCGCACGCACATAAACACACACCTGACCGTCGTGGCAATTTTTATTAGCCCGCTTGACTGAAATATTTAACCACAGTCGGACTACGAATTTTTCCATTCTTATGTACAAAATTTGTCGTCTTGTTCTCCTTTCTCCAGAGAAGTACAATACGCATTACTGAGCAATATTTCTACTCTGTCGAAAAATCACCCGGGTCTTTTCGACCCGTATTTGCATTCGTTCTACTGCTTTGCCAACGATCCACTCTATATCAAATTGGTCAAGCTGAACATATTGGGGAATTTGGCCACGGAAACATCGAGTCCAACCATTCTGCGCGAATTTCAGGTAAACTGGGTTGTTTTTATTATAATTTCGCCGCTACATCATGAAAGATGTATGAGAGAAAAGATGAGTTTCGGTTCTGCACCGGTCCTTAGTTGAGTTAAGGTCCTAGTGATAGACAAAGTTCCACACATTGCAGCTCATGACAACGCACATGTTGAAAGTTAGGTTCACTGATTGTGGAATCACCAATGTGAACAAACTAAGTCTTTATCATAGCGTGATGTTTTTTTTCCCAGATGAGTTTTTTCTTCTTATCCACGTCTATGTGGAATTCGAATCACAGTTGAAAATACATTCCCGAAGAATCGCCGAGTAGTGTAATTCAAGTGATTGGTAGCGTCTGTACAGGATAGCAGACACCCAGGAACCGCGAAATGATCAAAGGTAAATCATTTATAAATCCGATTACTGTTGTGCTATAGGGCATTTGATTTTAGCAACGTGTTCCATCAATGTGGAACGAATTACGGGTCGTTTCTATAGTCTTTCGAAATCACTTCACGCAAGGACAGTTTAAACAATCGCTGGATGAGTTTCATTCTGAAAATGACCAAAGTGTCCTTCTTCATAAGCCGTTTCCCAACACACTTGAGAACAACATCCTGGATTCTGATCAGATGATGCTAATAAAGCGGTTTACTTCGCTTTTACTGAAGCTTTGCATCGTTGGTGATTCCTAGTTCCAGGGTTTAGGTTGCCATCCGTCATGATTTAACCGTAGGTCCTCGTCGCCATGATATTAACGTTTTTAGTAGCTCATCTCACAATTATTGTAATAAAATGATCACCTTTTGATCAATCGAATGTTATTTTTTTGCTCCAGTCACGCCTAGCGGATCGGCGATCATCGTCTCCCCTTATTTAAACGGCCCGTTGATCAGAAACCGAATTCGGTTCTTTCTTTGGTAAAAACTTGCCTCGGAAGTTCGTCTGTCCTGTGAGATCAGTGTATATCCACACTACACAAATACTTGCGGTTTTAAGAGGGGAGGGGTCTGTGGCGAAACCAGTAGAGTTTTTCCAGAATGCTTTATTGCGCTCCCTTTGAAAACCATTGAAACTGTTTGTTTCCCGCCAGTTTGCCGTTTTTACTGTATCTAGTTGTTGTTTATGGCAGTGACCTTCACTCACCATAAAACACTGTCGGTGTGCTACATATATAATTGCATGATGGAAGATTTTTGAGGGGAAAATTCTCTGTTACCGGAGAAATTTCATTGGAACCTTCTAATTCATCATGATCAAATGATAAGAATGTTATGCGGCTATCCGGCATTTTCATTTCTATCGTTGGTTCGCAGGATCTGTACTAGTTTGTTGGTAAAATCCGTGAAGATCATTCACGTCACTTGCAGGTGGCAAATTGTGGATCACAAACTCAGTTGTTTGTTGTTTTAGAATTTGTCTGTTAGTAGTATTTGTGTCTGTTATTTCGGAGATTAACTATATCTTTACAACCTGACCCTGTTCCCCGGTTTACTT